AATGCATTCTTCAAAACATAGGATGTTACTTTAGAAGAAGGTCCATTCAGTGTTATCGAAATTGTTCGTCAACTTATTTTTTGGGTATCTTCCGTTTGAAAAGGAAAAATGAAGGATCTCGTGCCTCTTCGTATGCTTGGACAAGAGGAGAAATCCATTGACGTCACGTTGGTGCTCCACAATTAACAGGTGGTAGAGGTGAGATAATAAGTGGGATGTTCATTAGTGTTCATAATAAGATTAATAGAGCAAATAAATTACCACGGTTAAATGACCTGGCCTAATACATGTAGAATGGTTTTATCGGTTTGCAACCATCAACTACAGAGTAGTGATCAAACAAAGTGTTAAATTTCATTTGATCAGGCAGTCAACAATAGACTCTAAATGGGAGCTCCCTTCAAAAGTTTCTTTAACGACAAGCTGAAGTGGAGGATTACAGTTCAAAGAAGCCAGCTGAACCAGATCGTTGTACAGGCATTTGAGACCTTGTGGCGCAATAGGGCGTAACTACGTCAACGATTAAAGAGCATGCACCTGAACTGATAGCAAAACCCAACAAATAGGTGCCACATGGACTATGTGAAAAACCTTCTCATAGATGCGAAGCCTGCTCTGTGTTTCTGTCGCTCAAAAAACTGATTTCGTCATACTATTAAAGATGGATTCCGTGCCATAACGACGTTCTGAGAAAGGTTGGCCAAGAATGAGGAGAGAAACCGCTGAACCCAATGATAATGTCACTGTAGAATTGTGAATTTCTGCTTTTGAAGATGCCGTTGAGTTCATAATAAACTTTTATGAACGGAGCTGGGACACCGTGGCTGGTTCGATGATCATTTCTTTTTCAGGCTTTTTAGTGCCTTTTCTCAGATGGACGAAAACTGAGACAAAGTGATTTCCTAGATATTCGTCTATAGCGTATACTTGACCCAATACAGTGAACCGTTCTCGACATCCAGCTTGCTCACACTGCTATCCCCTGTTCAATGTTCTATGAGTCACCATCATCGTGGTTCGAATAAAGAATTAGTTTGCAGTCTCGTACAGGCTTCCGTTTTGTGTAGTAACATGGGCTGATTCATTCTGTCCACCAAATTGTGACGAGCAGGGGCGGTTTATTGATACGGAGTGGTGGTAGATCCCTTAAATGTTCGAGTCTGATAGTACCCGAATCCTCTCATTAGCGATTCTTCAGCGACAAGAAAGTATGTTGAAGTTCGAAAGAGAGAAGCTCTTCAACACATCCTTCCTCCCTGACACGATATTGAAGCAAATGGAAGCGACCGTCGAAGATATTGGAGAAAACGTCCACAATGATTTCCTCAAACACGTTTCCGGTTAGAGGCTATTTCGTCTTGAAACTGTGAGGAACTTTGTCGTGTAATTTTCAAACACCTGACTTGCATTTAATATTCCTAACATGTACAGCAGAAGGAAATGCTGATTTCCACTCCGTCATATCTCCTTTTAACGCTTTTCCACAGTTTTGCCGATTCGGAAATTAGTGATTGTCGATGGCTCACATGTTCCCCGTGAGAGCCTATCAGCTAGAGTTCTGACTCTCAAACTCTTCTTGGCACTATCATGAAATTCTGTATATCATATGAACCTCTCCAAATCTTTTCTTTGCACGAAAAGTCTAGCACGTCTACTGTGCGGATCCTAATACTTCTCGCGTACGATTCATTTCCTCCTATCCATGTGGCTTCGGCTGCTAGTTGAGGATTTTCCTTTCATCATTAATCGTTGAATGGTTGACGAGTCGGTTATTCCTAGAGTCCTGAGATAGCCGGGCTAGAGCGTTCTCCCTTCGACTGCAGAGAGCGAACCTTTCCCAAACAAGTCCGGTACCACTTTTCCGACTCCTGAGGGGTTAGAGGCTTGGTGAGACTACAGCGGCAACGAACCAGAAATCGTGATGATCATTGCCACTACCACTGTGCTACCTTCCCCTACCTTTCCGAGTCTATATGGAATTAGCAACTGTCGTTTGTGCGTAGGTGACGCAGCGTATTATTGTCAAATCCGGCCCTAGTCAACATTTTCTCAATCGTAAAAGTCAACCTAAACAGATAGTTGTTCGAAGTATGCGACGTCCAGATCCATTAGTTAAAGGTCCAATGAATAAGATTGATGGTGCAGAGTGTCAGCTTGTGAATCATCACCTACGAAACATGACGGCGTAGGTTTTCGTGAAGTAGAATTCTGGTCCCTGCCATCTTTCTACTGAACCTTCCGCGCTGAAATAATTTTACTGTGATTCAAGAAGAGGTACTGCTTATTTCCATCTAGGATGCATGAAAAATTGGTCGTAACTTTCTGATACAAGTGGCTTACTGGGGTGTTTCTAGACAATTTCGTGTTGAGCTTCATCTATGTTCAACCGTGGCACATGTTGTCGTCGTTTCCAGAGAACTCATTCCTCAACCATTCGATCAAAAACAGTCCCTTCTTATTGTATAAAAGAACGCTGGAAAATTTTTCATAACGACCGGCTCCTTCTTGTAGGACACCAAACTGTCGACTTGTTCTTCACCGCTCTACTTGCGACTTGCTCCTCCGGGAAACTCCCAACCCTTGTGCTTTTGGACCTGTTGCACTAAATGTCTTCAAGTGACCACCGTCAAAAACAGCGGCTTCTCCTCGATCGATCCTCTTTTCGCCATTCCCAATTACAAATCTGGTACCGTCTTCGGCGCTGTACGGCACCATTCTTAGCGCTTCCATGACGAACGGCAAGAGGATATTGCGAACAATTTCTGTAGGGTTATGACCAAGATAGGTATGGCGTGTGGAAGAGTAGTCGGAGGCGCCCTGCAATACACACGGGATCGATCGCCGCGCTCCAGGCTCACTAAGCCCTCCATCTCTCCGGAGTCGGCAAATTGGTACCAGACTTGTCTGAGAGGATAGCAGCACTGGTTCGATAAATCGGTGGGCCACCGCGAGTCATTGTAAAGGCCAGATATTCATCCAGTCACCTCCAACGATGCTTAATGAAGCCGTATGAAATCGAATGCATGGAGTATCCCTCAGAGATTGACGCCGAGAGCTTCATCCTTTATCTTTTATGATTAGGACCCCAAAAAACAGCTGAGATTTGCTCTATCCAACTTTTTCTTATTGGCATAAATGAGAACTAATCAACATAGAAAACAAAAACAACGTTCAAAAATAGCACGAAGTCTGACGTTTAAAACTGGATATAGAACATGTATAAGTGAAAAAAGACGTCGAAAAACGTGCAGAACTTCATATCGCAGATTCCAGCACTTCATTTATACCAGCTTGCCTGGATAAACCATGATACTCAGCAGATATTAGGCTTCTAAAATAATGTGTAGTTAATGCGCCCCATTCGGAATTAAAGGACGTGATGTACCTTCTGGTTATCGTAGGCTGAGTAACAGACCCACTTCCTTTGGGACTGGCGTTATCCTATTTTGTGGATGGCACTGAGGTTCCAGGATCTGCTTCCTTCATTTCCACGTTTGCGTAACGTATGATTTCGGCCAGAACCAGTATCAATGCATATTTTGTCTATTATCAACCCGGGACAGGCTGTCCCACAAAATTACCGGTGGTATTTTGTTATCCTGGCATGGATTGTATTGGATAGAATGTCGTGGAGAATATAACATTTAGAGTAGTGATTCCAACGACCGACTTTCTATTAACCTCAGCATTGATCAAACAGTTCTTGATGTTCTTGTTTAGCCAACACGAGGTGTTACTTTATCCCGTATCCTGGTGAAACTGACGTTTCGGCAGTGTCGCCTTCAGTGGAAGGCACGTAAAAATGGTGGGTTTTTCGAGAAGGTGTTGATTATGTGATTGCCGTGTAGATTCCCATCTTTCTGTCTGTGTTACCGTTCGGCCTAGTAAATGGCGCATCAATATACCCTTCCAGGCTCTGAAGAATGCAATACTGCCGAAGCGTCAGTTTCACCAGGATGAGGGATAAAGCAACACCTCGTGTTTGCTCAACAAGAACATCGAGAACTATTTAGAGCGTTTTCGAGAGAGTCTTCGGCGGAGAGTTTCGTTTCCCATTTTAATAATTAACATGTTCTTGGTCGTCTGCATTTATTCCGTTGCAAATCTACGTCTTCTAAGCCTAGCACCAAAATATCCCAGCTCTCTCAGTGACCCCTATTGTTTGAAATGGGATTTCTTTGCTTTATAAGTCTTTGCTAACAAGGACAAATCTCCTCCTCTGAAGCAGAAAAAACGATTTCCCACTTTCCTTTCGACATGAGTCGTATTTCGAACCGGGATTTGTCGCCATTTTTCCTAAGAACTTGAAGCTCTAGGAAATTTGTGAATGAAATAGAATTCTCAACGCGATCACAGATTAGTGATGTTTATGTTGTAACAGATGCTTGCTATTATGTGAGGAATTGAGTATCATTTGAAATAAGCAGAAATCTGGCGGAATTTTGAGAATTCCTTCTTTGTTAAATTGCCTTGAGAATGAAATGTGTTGTTCCCAAAAGCCTAGAAGCTTCTTACTTTCTTTCCTTTAAGAGAACTGGCTTAACTATAGATCTTTCGTCACTACTTTTGTAAGCCGTCTACCAATAGGGGATTTTTCTTTACCAATCTCCTATTAGCTCTTCCGTTGGTGTTTAAAAACGGACCACAGTTTGACCCTGATATCTGCGAGTAGAAACTTTGTACCAGGTCAGTTAGTGCTGTACGTTTCCTTAAAAGAGTTGCCTGAAAGTCCTGGATTTTCAACCTTTTGACGTTGTACTTCTTTTTAACCTAATTCTCTACTCTGTTTTGAGCCTTTGGATCAGCTTAGGTGCTATACGAGATGGCTCTTCGGCAATCACTTTTTGGTTTTTTAAAATGCTTTGAGTTTTAAATTTTATTCATTGTTTATGTCTAAGAAATGTCATGTGGTTGTCTTTGTGATTTTAGCGTCGCTGATAAATTCATTAATGTTGTTCTTCTGTAATCTTTTCTTGGGCTAATACGGATTTTAGGTCTAGATGGGTCTCCACAACAAGCCCATCGTTATCGATGGTAAAAATCACCTCCTTGGACGCCTCGCCTCAGTTGTTGCCAAGCAACTCCTTCAGGGTGAGAAGGTCGTTGTGCTAAGATGCGAAGAGATTGCTATTTCTGGGAACTTTCATCGATCAAAGCTGAAGTACATGAGCTTCCTACGCAAGAGATGTAACATCAACCCTGCTCGTGGTGCTTTCCATTATAGATCACCTGGAAAGATTTTCTGGAGAACCGTTCGTGGTGGGTTAAATCATTATTTTTGTACAGTGTTCTAAATATTCGTGTGGTCCAGCGATCATACTGCCTTTGCAGATGTGTATTCATTTTTCATCTATAGGTCAGAAACAGTTCTGTGATTAAGGACGCGCATAGTGTTGTGGTGAACGCGTTAGCCCTCTGGAAGGGTAATAGCGTGTTTGATCTCCACCGTGGACACCTGCCGTCTGCAGTTTTACAAATACTTTAGTGTTATTGTGGTTGAGTTCTATGACTATAATTGGCGTAGACAGTTGCTACTTGACCACGTTTTTGACATAGTGACCCTTCACTGCTTTTCGGTCGACAGTTGGACAGTAAAGGGAAATGCGGACGTGTTCATTAGTTCAGTTCTTCGAGGTATTACATAAGATTCTTCTGTTCTAAATTTTTTTCGAAGAATAGGATTTGGAGACGTTTTTCAGTGGGTCACTCCGTGCTATGAAACTTATCCTTCCATTTTAAATTTGCATATATCGAGGCAGCTGTTCTGCTGAGATTTTAGCACAAATCTATTGGTAGGGAAATCGAAACCCGACCGCTGATGAATTAGTTTGTTCAACCAGCACAACAGTTGGTTTTCTGATTCCTCGATACTACGGATGATGTGGTGCGCTGGTTTTGTTGTAGAAAATTAGTTGTGAAAGTGTGTCAGCCCGCGTTTTCTTTGGTCTTGTTTTCCCTTGTTTTGAGTTTTTTCTCAAGAATCGTTTCATTACATTTTGAAACTGCTTTCGAGGACACCGCAATCAACCAGAGTTTGTTATTGTGAGCTGTGCTGATTTGCCGATCATTAATCGTAGTAACGATCATTGCCATTCATTCTCTAATAATTCCTAAATACTCTGTTAAAAAGAAGGGGTAGTTCTTATTCTCCTTCTTTCTACTTCTTAATATTCTTTATGTCTAAGTAATAGGTGGGGGGCATGCATCAGCACATATGAGATCGATCCTCTCGCTCCTGACTCACCAAGCTCTTCATCCCTCCACAGTCGGTAAATTGGTACCAGACTTGCCTAGGAGGATGGCAGCTCTGGCCCGATACATTGGTGAGCCACCGCGAGTCATTGTAAAGGCCAGATTTTCGTTCAGTCAGCTCCAACGGTACTTAATGAAGTCGAATGCATGGCGTATCCCTATGGGATTGATCAACGGCGAGAGCTTTATTCTTATAGCTAATAACGGCAGTATCATCTAGTCACTAATGTCGATGTCTTAGTACATGCCTCAATGACATGCTTTAATATGGCTGAAAATCTGCTGGATTGGGATACCACTGTGAGCAGAGGGAAATTGCCGATTGGTATTATGCTGAAACCTTGATGTTCTGAATTGACAATTGCGCGTATTTAACCGGTCTCAGCAGTCTTTCTCAACGCGTGTTCGTTGCATGTTTATCCGTTGAAAGAAATGGAATTGTGTGGACTGTCACATTTGCTATGCTCCATCTCTTTGGCTGTTGTCTCTGTTTTTGCGCATCACCTTTTAACCTTAGACCTTAAGCCATACCATGAGAAGTGGACCGTAGTTAAATTGTAGAGTTGTATAAAGGTGATTTTGAAAATGACATGAAAGAGATGGAATACTGGGAGTAGGAAGATATCAACGCGCATAAAGTATACTGTTGCCTACTTATGTAACCGCTTCATCTTCTCTGACCCCTCTTTATTGTTGTATGGGTGCCAGCACTTCCGTTAGTTTCATTGTCTTCCAACTTTCGTCCGTGAGTTTGCGTGTGAATTCACCCGCAACTTGAGAATCCTTTATTTCTTTTACTGATTCTTATGTTAAGTTTTGGTTGATTGTGATTTTATTTTTGTTCTCGAGATAGTCGTACTAAAGCGTCTCCAAATCTTCACTACAGGCACTCACTAGGCCTTGTAGACCGGAGGGATGTTACTGTCTTGAGAATCACATCTTTACAGAATGGTACTGATAGCACAAGATTGAATGCGAGAACAGTAAATCGCATGCTGTATATTTAGTAAACAAATCGCCTTAGGACAAAGAGACAGGCCGAGTAATGAATGCATTATGGAGGAAAAGCAGTTTAATTTTTGCTTCTCGCATCTAATGACTTAGATTCATTATGGTTATCCACTTTTCAGCGTAATATTTGAACACTTTTCAACACATTCGCTTTTCAGGAATGTTACCCCACAAGACTCCACACGGAAATTTAGCTCTTAAAAACCTGAGAGTCTATGAAGGCGTACCCACCGCTTATGATCGTGTTAAGAAGATGAATGCCCCGATTGCTAATCGACATCTTTGTCTGAAACCTCGACGGAAATTCTGCACTGGTATTTGAATGAGCTCTGTTTTTAGGATTTCTAATTAGTGCAAACATGACATTTTGATTGTCGTTTATTTTTTATTGGTGGATTTTTACCATAATGCAACTTTGATTCAAGTTGGCCGGCTTTCTCACGAAGTCGGGTGGAAGTATCAAGACGTCGTTGGCAAACTTGAAGCGAAGAGAAAAATCAAAGGAGCTGCTTATTATGAAAAGAAAAAGAAACTCGAGAAGTTGTATGAGCAGGTATGTACCACGTATAAGCGATGTTTGTATATCTGTCAATGCTCGTTTATGAACTTGTTTTTGAAACTGCTGTTAAATGACCGCATTCAGAACATCTCGCTATCATCACAATATGTGTAGGTAGATAGATATGGTCTTAAACGATCTACAGTTTCGATTTAGGCGAAGAAAAACGCCGCTGAGAAGATTGCGCCTTACCAAAAGATCATTGAGAGTTTTGGTTACAATTAAATGTTTGTTCTGTTTAAAGAATGAAGTTGTTAAATCGTTCAGTCCATCGCAGTTAGAGCACTTCCGTGTATTTTTGCAGAAACAATTGTTAATTAAAGCCGAATAAATTAGTTCATATAAAAGTTGTAAGTATACTATTCCGACAAGTAGTTTAGAGGGACGCTAACAAAGTGTTTACATTTAAGAATGTGTGGAATCACAGGAGACGATTTTCTTCGACTGTAGTATCTGGACATATACCAAGGATAAAACTCTCGGCATTGATCAATCCCTTAGGGATATGCCATGCATTCGACTTCATTAAGCATCGTTTGGAGGTGACTGAAGTAATTGGTGATGCATACCTGGTCTTTATAATGACTAGCGGTGGCCTACCGATGTGTCGATGCAGTGTTGCTATCCTCCCAGCAAGTCTGGTAGCAATTTTCCGACCCCAGAGGGATGGAACGCTTAGTGGGCCGATAGCGCGGAATCGATCCGATATGTGTTGCCGGGTGCCTTCGACCACTGGGCCACAAGCGCCCTGGACATATATTTTCGGTTAACTTGGGCTCTTGGTTTCGTTCCTTTTTCTAGGAAACCACATGTTTGTAATTCCGAACTAAAATTACAATGAACTTACAAGATTTTTATCAGAAATCAAAAACGACAATAAATCAGGTGTAGAACATTTAAAAAGAAAACTGAAACGACGAAGGTAAGGCATTGCTTTTACGTTGTTTAATACAGTTATGTGGGAGTAAATACAGTACTTATTTTTATCTAAACAATGTTAGTTTAAATGATATCTAAAATGTGGAAGAATTTGATAGCAAAGAAGTATTCGTGAAGTCTGACATGTGCGTGAATGGAGAGCTACCAATACATACAAAGTGGGATTTGGCAAAAAATTCGTATAATGTAGAGACGCTACTAATTGGTTATTTTCGACAAACAACGCATATGACATCATATCAGCCTACCGTTTGAGGTGCAAGCTAATAAAATTCCATCCGAACATGGAGAAAAGCAAGTGTTGCGTTTTGAAATGCTGACAAGTGTCGGATATGTTAAAGCGTAGTTCTTTTTTTTGTTTATAAGTTCGATCCTTCGTGGAGCTACTGGGACCCCGTGTTTTTTTTTTTTACTAGGACAACATGGTAGGACTAGTGCGATCAGCAGCTGCGATATTGCCATACGAAACTATTTACACCTAATTACATTCACTTCCTAAACTAATGGAATCAAACTTTACAGCATTTAGTCGATAATACACACTTGCATCGTCAGTTTTCAAGAGTTTGTTCTCCATTATTCTACAGCTTCTAGAACACCATTTTGTTTCCCTTAGCGATATCAAATCACTGTTGTAATGGGGATGAAAGTACTTACTTACGTTGTATACGGATATTCCGAGACGTTAACTGGAAAATTGTAGAAATAACCAGAAGAAGGGAAAACGAAGAAGTGATGATGGCAGTGAGTCTAACACTACTAGTTTCATGGAAAAAGACAGAAACGATGTTCAGTAAAGCAACAGGACGTTTTGAAACAAATCTTTGGGATTGGGATACCATTAAAACTATGCAGCGCTAAAGTTGGAGCTACTTATAAAAAATGTGGGTATTCGAAAATTGCACACAGAAAGGATTCAACCGGTATTGTACGAAAGTATCGTGGTCATCCGGACTGTCAAAATTCCTTTAAAGTGATATAACTGCACGGAACGGTGGAAGGACCTTCGAAGATCTGGTATTCGAGAAATAAGCGTAATTTACGTTCATCTTTAAGACAAGCATCAAATCGATAAAAGGAAAAGGTAAGGAAATGGTGACTCTGTTCCCAATCACCGCTTCTTTTCTACTTTACCACACGGCGAAATGCAGCTGTCACTGCGCTCATCATAAGGCTTCGTCGTTATCGCTACCCATATGGTCGGCTATAGTAGATGGACCTCATAGCTGTGCATCAACGACATTGTCATTATAGTCCAAGATGATCTATCACTGGAATAATGATAACCGAGGTTAGAATGAGGAGACAAAATAGGAGATTGGATGAGTTGCACCCATCTGAATCGCACGCTTGTACACAGCCCGTATAATGGTAGCCTTCGAACTTGAAATGACCGCAGTGGCTGATCCTCACTATTTCTGAAAAGCATCCAATGAACAAGTATGAAAAGGACTAATAATACGCAAAGCGTCGAAAATATAGGTGAGGAAGATACTGACATTGGCTTGCTATGCGTTAAACGATGATAAGAACAGACTCTTAAAGTTTGGCGTGGAACTCACGTACCGGTTAGGTCCACACCTTACTAGAGATACAAATGTCAGAATTAAAATACAGCCAACTAGGTGGTATACGGACGGCACATTGTGTCAAGAAATAAGTCGCTCAATTTTTTAAAGCCTTGCGGGTTTCCTCGTCGTAACCTTCAGTACGACCTGTATCACCTGTAGTACCGTAGATCGTCGAGTGACCCGAGCAAGCGTCAGTAAATCTTCCAACTTTTCCTGTCGCGTGCAAGAGTAGCCCAGTGGGTTCTGCTCGCTCTAGGGCTCGTCGAGCATCATATCTTCCTTCAAGGCTCTTTGCGAAGAACTCTGACCGTTGGGTCGGCCAGTCACGAACGGCTCTTGTCCGTCGGTTGTCATTTATACGCATTACGTGTCCGGCCCACCTTATCTTCGAATGTTTGGCGTACAGAACGGCATCATTGATTTTTGATCGTTGACGCAGATCGGAGCTTCGGATCCCATCCTTTACTTGTGCGGAACGGAATACTCCTAGCATCGTCCTTTCGACTGCGCGTTCGATAACGCTAAATGACGTTTCGTCCTGCTTACGCAGCAACCAGGTTTCTGACGCATACGTTAGGGCAGGAAGTACCGTTGAGTCGAAAAGGTGGGTACGGAGTCGGGTGTTCTTTGTTCTCTTCACTACATCGCCGATGCTCTTGAAAGCTCCCCAAGCCGCTCGTCTTCTTCTGCCCAGCTCTGGAGCTAGGTCGTTCATCATATTGATTTCCCGAACTAGATAGATATAAGTGGAGCATTCAGACATATACGTTCCGTTGAGCGTTGATGGGGCATGCGAAACCAATCCGTTCTTCATGAACATCGTTTTTGTGAGATTTAGTCGAAGAAAAATCTTTCTACAAGCTTTATCAAAGTCGTCAAGGATACGTTCTGCCAGGCTAATGTTTGGTGTTACAAGGACGATGTTATCAGCAAAGCGAAGATGGTGTAACTGTCGACCGTCGATTTTCACTCCCATATTGTCCCATTCTAATGTTCGTATGACATTCTGGAGGGTGGCGGTAAATAATTTCGGCGAGATGGTATCGCCTTGCTTAACTCTTCTTTTGACGTTAATGCTAATATCGTTGTAGAATGGTGATATATTGGTTGTGAAATTTTTGTACAACTCACGAAGAATTTTTACGTACTCAGTAAGGACTCCTTGACTATCAAAGGCTTCCTAGACTCCTTCCATCTCAACTGAATCAAAGGCCTTCTGTAAATCGATGAATGTGAGACAGAGCGGTCTTTTGTACTCTCGTGATACTTCAATGAGCCGTGTTACCGTGTGGATGTGGTTCATTGTACTATCCTCTTCGAAACTCCATTGCCTCTCTGGACGCTGTAACTGTTCCGTCTGGGAGCCGGAGACCAATCATTTTGGTCTTGTAATTGGCGAAGCTTCG